CCTCTTTAATTTCTCTTAAGAGTGTCTTGTAGTTTTCAGGGTATAGGTCTTTCACTTCCTTGGTTAGGTTTATTCCTAGGTATTTTTTTTTTTTGATGCTATTGTGAATGGAATTGTTTTCCTGATTTCTCTTTCTATTAGTTCATTGTTAGTGTATAGGAAAGCTATAGATTTCTGTGTGTTAATTTTGTATCCTGTAACTTTGCTGAATTCTGACATTAGTTCTAGTAGTTTTTGAGTGGAGTCTTTAGGGTTTTTTATGTACAATATCATGTCATCTGCAAAGAGTGACAGTTTGACTTCTTCCCTACCAATCTGGATGCCTTTTATTTCTTTATCTTTTCTGATTGTCGTGGCTAGGACCTCCAGTACTGTGTTGAATAAAAGCAGGGAGAGTGGTCTTCCTTGTCCTGTTCCCAATCTTAGGTGAAAAGCTTTCAATTTATCACTGTTAAGTATGATGTTGGCTGTGGGTTTATCATATATGGCCTTTATTATGTTGAGGTACTTGCCTTCTATCCCCATTTTGTTGAAGAGTTTTTATCATGAATGGATGTTGAATTTTGTTGAATGCTTTTTCAGCATCTGTGGAGATGATCATGTGGTTTTTGTCCTCTTTTTGTTGATGTGGTGGATGATGTTGATGGATTTTTTAATGTTGTACCATCCTTGCATCCCTGAGTTGAATCCCACTTGGTCATGGTGTGTGATCCTCTTGCTGTGTTTTTGAGTTTGGTTTGCTAATATTTTGTTGACCATTTTTGCATCTATGTTCATCAGGGATATTGGTCTGTAGTTTTCTATTTTTGTGTTGTCTTTGCCTGGTTTTGGTATTAGAGTGATGCTGGCTTCATAGAATGAGTTTGGAAGTATTCCCTCCTCTTCTATTTTTTAGAAGACTTTTAAGGAGAGTGGGTATTATGTCTTCTCTAAATGTCTGGTGAAATTCAGTAGTGAATCCATCTGGTACGGGAGTTTTGTTCTTGGGTAGTTTTCTTTACTGATTGAATTTTGTTGCTGGTAATTTACCTGTTTATTTTCTCTTTCTTAGTCAGTCTTGGAAGGTTGTATTTTTGCTAGAAAGATGTCCATTTCTTCTAGGTTATCTAGATTGTTAGCATATCTTTTTTCATTGTATTCTCTAATAATTCTTTGTACTTCTGTGGTGTTTGTTGTGATATTTCCTTTCTCATTTCTGATTCTTTAGATTCTCTTTTTCTCTTAATAAATCTGGCTAGGGGTTTATCTCTTGTTTATTTTCTCACAGAACCATCTCTTGGTTTCATTTATTTTTTTCTATTTTTTCATTCTTCACAATTTTGTTTATTTCTTCTATGATCTTTATTATGTCCCTTCTTCTGCTGACTTTGGGCCTCTTCTGTTGTTCTTTTTCCAATTTCAATAACTGTGACTTCAGACTATTCATTTGGGATTGTTCTTCCTTCTTTAAATAGGCTTGGATTGCTATACACTTCCCTCTTAGAACTGCCTAAGCTGAGTCCCACATAACTTGGGGCATTGTGCTGTTGTTTTCCTTTGTCTCTATATATTTCTTGATCTCTGTTTTAGTCATTGATCCATTGATTATTGAGGAGCATGTTATTAAGCCTACATGTTTTTGTGTGCCTTTTTTATTCTTTGTATAATTTATTTCTAATTTTATACCT